TCAGGCCATTAGCCGAGCGCTGGATCAGAAGTGGAGCAGCCCAAATTGGGACCCATATGGGATGTTGGCGCTGCAGGCAGAGGCTTAACACAGCACTTGTCCCCTGGACAAAATTTTTACTTTGTGTTGAGATGGGTACAAATCAATCACGATGAAAATTCAAAATTACATGAACAAGGGAGTAATTATCCTCTTCAAAAGATTCATACTTAGAATGCCTTACTTTTTATTTTTTTATTTTATTTTATTTTATTTATTTATTTTTTGACAGGCAGAGTGGACAGTGAGAGAGACAGAGAGAAAGGTCTTCCTTTGCCGTTGGTTCACCCTCCAATGGCCACCGCGGCCGGCGCACCACGCTGATCCGAAGCCAGGAGCCAGGTGCTTCTCCTGGTCTACCATGGGGTGCAGGGCCCAAGCACTTGGGCCATCCTCCACTGCACTCCCTGGCCACAGCAGAGAGCTGGCCTGGAAGAGGGGCAACCGGGACTAGAACCCGGTGTGCCGGCGCCGCAAGGCGGAGGATTAGCCTAGTGAGCCGCGGCGCCGGCCTAGAATGCCTTACAATAATAGCATTCTCCTGCATAGGATGAAGTGTTTGTTTACACATAACTGACAACTTCCTGGGAAACTTTGGAATAAAGCAGGCGGAGACATCCAATGCTAGAGTGTTCCCTGGGACCCTCAGCCAGTTGAGGGCCATCAAGTTAGGCTCATGGTGCAATGACCAAGTAAGCAAATGGGTCATGCCTCAAGCTACAGAAATTGAACGCCTGTAGGTCGCATGAACTGGGGCATGTCCATGTGGCCCCATCTCCCTGACAGATGAGTATGAATCTTTTGACTCGGGGGTGCGGAAGCAGAACTCTGAGTCTTGCACACTAGCAGGGATGTCATTGATGTGGCCCGCAGAGCTTGGTTAGTCAAATAGTCCCTCTGGAAGGAATGAGACTGAACCCCGATAATGTAATGAAAGACCCGGACTCTCGTCAGTCTCCCTCAGCCCAAGGTGTCCTTGCCTGTCCTTTATCAGAGGGTATTCACTGAGCTGAGACAGTTGTGCAGCTGGCCCAACTCAACCAGACTCAAGAAGTCAGTTGCTTCTCCAACAAATAAAACCTTATTGGCGACTGTTGTCCAAAGGGGATTGTTTAGGGGATTCCAGGTCCAGGCAGAGACATTACAGGTCTGGGGAAGACATGTAATCCCACCCAGACCAACTGGAGCCCACCTGGCCATCATAAATTCTCTAGGGAGCATGGCGTCCCTGACCAATCAAAGGGAGCCCATGAGCACCATGGCCAACCAGGAGCTCAGACGCGAGCTGATCAAGCACTTCGCAGTCCCAATTTCAACCTGTAAGAACCCTCACCCCTAACTCTTCGGGGAGCCCGGGGAATTAAGCAATCTCCCCGATAGTGTTCTTGTATGGTGGTGCTATCCAGCCTCCTGGGATGGTCTCCCAGATGCCATTTATTTGAAGTTGGGATATCATTCTTCTTTGCTTTCATATTTATGATGGGTACATAGCACCAGGAAAAAATGTTTATTGTGACACTAATACACATGACAAACAGGAACTAAAATTCCACTGACTTACATCAGATTAATGTGAATGACTGAAAATAAAACCCCAAAGTTGATTCCACTCAAGGAAGGAGGAGACCACAGTGTGTGTTTTGCTTGCCTTGGACCACAGAGCAGGTCTTATGAGTGTACATAACACCCTGGGAGTATTTCAGCTTTCCCTTTCGTCCTTAATCCCCTGAGTGACCCGGCTCCAGGAGAAGCCGGGGCAGAGGAGCAGAGGCACACACGGGCCGTCTTGCCAGGCTGAGCTAAGCCAGCACAGCTGCTGGCCTGGGCGAGAGCGTGGGCGGCCACCTGTGGCTCCACAAGCAGCTGTTTGGTTGAGGTCCAGCCAAAGCCCCATCATGGGGTGGAGGCAAGAGGCCAGTTGGGCGGCCAATACACTCTGGCCTGGGCTGAAAGAACACCTGGCTCCCCTCCGGGGAGCCACCGCAGAAGGTCAAGCAGCATGCGGGCTGGCGGCCAGCTGATGGCCCACGTTTTCACGTCCTCACGGTCCTGCTGACTGAAACCGAGAAACCCACCTTGCTCCTCAAAGCCTGCCCTGGAGTCTCCGTGGGGCTGCTTCTGCTCCAGCTGTGAGGAAGCAGGCCCTCGAGGCCCACGGGCATGTCTGGACAGGGCGTGCGGGACTGTCGGGCAGAGAGCGCTCAGTGATTTACCATGAGGCATCTCAGGGGAGGCGAGAGCCCCCTAAATTGAAGAGGTTTGGCTGCTAAAGGACTTTGCAGACATCTTCCATTCCAGAATGCCTCTGGCCTGCCTTTTCCCTCTCCATCCAAACTCGAACTCCATGCTTAGAAACCACACTAAGTCCTCTCTTGTAGCTTTGTCACCAAGCCAGTGTCTGGATGCCCACAGTGAAACACCACCACTCACTAAGGCACTCGGAGCTCACCTTTCATAACCCTGACGCTCTGCCGAGCCCTCAGGCCTATGGTTTCCTAGGAAGGAGAACCCCACTTTCTCTGGCAATGGTGAACCTGTCTCTCTCTAGCAAAGGAGAATTATTTCTAATGACCCTGTCCCAGATGCTGTGTGCTGAACAAGTGGGTTCTGTGACCCCTGGCAGCTCACTCAACCTCTCTGATCTTCAGTCTTGGCCCTTGTAAGTGGGGATGGATAGTACTGTCCTTACTCTTATTGAAACCCACTCAATGAGCCAGCAGATGTTAAAATGCCTTGCACAGGGCCTGGTGCAGCAGGTACTCAGCAACTATTAGCCGTAGGAATGAGTGACACTCGCTGATGCCACCCTGTAGACACAGGAGCTCATATCTGACCTGCAGTGGCCCCGCACTGGGACTTCCTTCTGCCACGTTTGCTTGGGATTTCAGAGGGCTCATCTCAGAACTGTTGTTCTGCCAGCAAGAATTCCAAAGTGAGCACAGGTATGTGGACCCATAGGCTAACCTGCTACCCACCACTGTCCATGTGGTGGGCACAGACCCCGCTTCGTCCTAGAACCACGTCAGCCTTGAGCCAGTAGAAGCCGGCTAGTGTTGCTCCATTGGCATGAGCAGGGCCTTGCTCTGTGAGGCCTGGAGTTGGTGGACCAACTTGACCTCTCTCGTGTGAACTTCTCCGGAAGGTAAGGGATCCAAGCCAAGGCCCAGGAAGAAAGCTCCTGAATGATCTTCACAAGTTTCAGGTCCAGGTAAGAAAATCCGACACACCCAGCAGGTCGTGCTGTGCCCCAGAGACACCAGGCAGAATCGGACTGTGTGTAACCACACCGTGCCATTCTGTTGAAGGTAAAGCATTACTGCGGAGGCTGGCTTCATTACCCACACAGCTCAAGGCTTTCAGGGGGCTAAAGGGAGCCACCAACCCAAAGAGGACATGAACATAACCCTGGTTTTCCCCTCAGAATGAAGCCAGCGCTCAAAGCACGGTTTCATTCTGGCCTCAGACATCATCGACGGAAGAAACGGGAAACAAAGAATGCTGGAAATACCCGCTGTGGAAGAGGTGGGGGAAGCCCATTTTCCTTTCAAATTACGGCTTGAGGTTTTGAAGTCTGAGGTGCAAAATCATTGTGAACAGCTGTTCTTTCTAAAAACGCGGTAGTTTACGCCGCACATTCTGATGAAATGAACGAGACAGAATTCCAAGCACGGATTATCTGTCACTGCTTACTCAGTGACTGATTGTTCCTCTTTCCTGTGACCACTCGTTTAGAATTTTTCAGTCTTCCTGGCTGTGACTTTTTCTCCTTGAATTACATTTCTTTTCCTTTTTTTTTTTTAAATAATGAGCTTTAGCCCAGCCCAGCAAATGCACACGTTTGTTACTGAGGTCAACACTGGCCTTTGGGAGCATAAAGTTTTGAGGATGACACCTCCATGGGGAGTGGCTGACTCTCCGTGGAAGGCAGACTGTTTTTGTTCTTGGAGTTGGTAAGCAGGACAGGGTCCTTTAGGTTTTTCAGAGGGACAAAAATCATTTAATTGAAAACAACTGCAGATGAAACGAGAGACTTGAATCTAATGGATCCAAGCTAAAGCAAGCCACTTCCTGGGTATATTCTCATCTTGCCAAGCCCTGAAAGAACTATCCTCTGAAAATGAAGAGAGAGGTGAAAATGGCTGGTACCCACAGTCTTCTCATTAACTCAATATTCATGATTCTTGAGCCATTTTGGCTACTGGGAGTGACTTTGGGGCAATACTCTCCCAAGAATACCTAACCTCACTTGGTCCAATAAGATTACTGCAGTGGGTAAGACTGGGTATGTGTGTATGGAACATGGGAGTGGGTAAAGCACCACCATGCTTGAACATCCTACTCTTCTTTTATGATGATGATGTTGTCCCTATAAAAGTACTCAAACAACTAAGTATGCACATTCAAAGCTTTTCTGAGTTATCACTGCCTATTATAGTATCCCACAAAAACCGTGCCACTGGTTCATCTTCAGCCGAAGAGAAAATGTCTGAAGGTGGAAAATGTGCCTACCATGTTTCTATGCCCCACTGAATCTGAGTAGAAAAATCCACCCAGTTTGAATTCAGTACCCTTTCCACACTGAAATATTTTGTATTCTCTACAATACTTAAGAAGTTACATGGATAGGAAAGGAAGGAGGACAAAAGAGTTGTATACCCAGTGACAGGAGGTACATGGCAGTGGCCAGTCTGGACTTCCTTCCTGGCCTCACAGTAGCTGCCTGGTAAGTAGGTAGCTACTCTGGAAACAGAGCCCCACAAGAACTAGCTTAAGTCCTTGAATGTAGACAAGACTAAGATGTGTACAAACAGATGTACTCTCTGAGAAGGATGTGACAAATCCTCTTGATCCTGATACTTCTAGATAATTCAGATAATACAGATATGGTATCCCACAGCATAGATTTCTTGTACTGCAAGTTTAACATGAACTTCTCAGGAAATAGACAACTTCCATCTGAATCATTATTATAAGCTGAATTTTTATTTTTACTAAATTATCTATGTCAAAAAAAAAAATCTGTGCCTGGTGTGGAATTTCACTCCATCAAGTGTTACAATGACTTTTTCATTTTCATTACAAGCAGGAGAATGGATGTAGGACAAGTGTTAGGAAACATGGCAATAAATTAGAATATAATTTACAAAAGCAAAAAAAAGTAACAGTGTACCACATTAATACTGAGTATAAAATAATAAGCAACAACTAATCACAATAATACAAAAGTAATTTTGTTCTGTATTATTAAGGATACCTATGTGACATTCACTCAAATAAAAAAGTTCCTAATGAAGTGGACTGTTTGGAAGTCATATATATTTCAAGGAGTTTAATCATTTGGGTACATTTTACCTTTCCTGTTTTTGGTAGGCCTTTACACCAGTGGCAGATACTGCTCCCAGGCGTGGGGCACCGTGGGGTACCTGGGGTTCATTAAGTGGTCTGTACAGCTCCTTACTTTTGGAGAGCCTACCTTGGTGGCCCAGCTTCCATGGACAATCCTATTGTTACTGCTTAGGAATGAAGCATCATGTAGCCATGTTGGTGGCTAGAGTGGCAGTGGTAGTGTAATGTGCTGTGCAATATATGCACACACACACATATATTAACCTACTCAGGTCCATGTTCATGGCTTATTTAAAAAGTTTAATCCTGGTACATTCCGTACTTGGTTCCCTCTTGAAAGGTAGTCTGAGGTGCCCCAGGGGGAGCTCTTGGCATTCTGCCCTCAGTGCTGGTGCACGTCCCAGAGGCTCTGCACAGTACACAAGCCCTTGCAAGGTCAGGCCCCAGGCAAAATGTAGCCTTTAGTCAATAGAGTCAGAAATCTTTTTGAAATAAAAATATAAGCTGGTAGTTATCTTGGAGAAAATCAGATCATGATAGCAAACCTATGCTTAATCTACTGCAGAAATCATCTACCCTTTATTTAATTTCACCAGCACATTAGCACCAAGTTCATTTTCTTTGAAAAAGAACACAAGAATTCAGGCCCTGCCGCCCATGGGCTGCCTTCCCTTCACTGAATGGGCAAGATGGCACTGGGGCTGGTCTGCTAAGGGTAGCGTAGATGGGGCTCTGGCACCATGCTTCTTCATCAACAGCTCTCTCTCTCTCTCTCTCTCTCTCTCTGTAAAGCTCAGGGACGGGAACCATGGACCTGAGAGAGAAGCCAGGTAATGAGATAGATAGTCACGACTGAGTGTGGAGGAAGCAGCCCATGCCAACCATATACAGCAAACCTGTGTGAATTTAGGTTGTTTTTTGGTGTCTGAGAGTCTCTCTACCTTTCAGAAAAAAACAAAACAAACAAAAACGAATCATCGACATTAGGCTGCAGTGCATATGACACACTGAAGTGTGGTTCAGAGCAGTGAACTTGAGCAAACCTTTTCTTTAACTGCAGGTATCAGGTCTACCAAGCAGCCATTTAGTTTTGAGCCGTAGAGTCGGCGTATTCACCGAGGACACGTGTACAATAAAGGAGGCATGCTGGACACAAAGCACATTCCTCTGGAACCTGCTGCAAGCCACAAGTCTTCAAGTACAAAACATCTATAGAAACAAGTACCCTTTTCAAAAAAACACTGTTGTTGAGCCTTTTGATGAGAAGGATGCAAAACTCGAGGATAGGGAAAATATGAGCCAGACGTTTTACTTTAGGTGGATGTGACTCTAGAATTTGACTTGCCCAAGAAACTGGGTTTCACATTTAGTTGCCATTCAGAGTATCCGTAAAAATAATACAAAATTCTTGGTTGAGTGACTTACAATGTATGCTTTCTGATCTCTAGTCTTCACGAGCTTTCTTCTTTGGTTGTTATCCCTTGCCTCCTTTAAAACTCAGAAATAGCACGTTTATGTGGGAGCACACTCATCTTTCCACACACTCAAAAGCGCCCGCACACACACACACTTGCTCTCATATAAATAAATGCCCTTCTACCATATCAAAGAAAGGACATCTGGAACCCATCATAATTGTCATCAAGTTGCAAAAGGGTCTGTCTGGTTGTTACCGAGCCAGTCTAGCTTTTGCATGGTATCATCTCGGTTAGCACAACACGCATGCAACAACGCAACAGGGCAGGAGCTGTTCTGTAGCTGGTGCGGGTGTAAACACAGTGAGTTGGGGTGACTCAAATAAGAAGTAAGGTAACCTCTGTGATGGCAGCAGAGGGCCTGGTGCCTTCATCTCAGCCATACTCCAGGTCTGGCTTCTGCACGAAATTGAAATGTTTTTCTCTTAAAGTTTTAATGGAAATCTCAGCTTCACTTGCACAATGGCAAGTTGGCCACAGTCTTTTAGCACTGAATTTATAGACTTGCACAGCTGCGGTTACTGATGCACTGCTTCACACTAAGTCCCTCATTGTTGTTCAGTTTAATATAGTTTTATATATGGCTCACAGCAGTGTTCAGAACAGGGGGATTATTCCTAAGGAAATTAGGTGAAAGGAAGAAAAAATAATACAAACTCTCATTACTTTTGATTTATAATTGCTCCTTAAGTTACAGTTCAAAGCCCATTTTATAATTTAAGTTGTGGCGCTGCTGTAGTGAGATAGAGTATAGTAAATATTTTTAAGCTATGACTTAGGAATTCTGAATCTTCTTTACTTCCATAGTTGACCAAGTCATAACAGCTACATTTTAAACAGTTTTAAATACAAATGGATTCAGTGTCATTGCTAAGTCCATAATAAAAATTATCTTAATGGTCCACGGAGGTAAACAGGCTATTGGATTTACTCGAAAGAACACAAACATTCCACAGTAAGCAAGTCTCCCCGTGTTGTTTGGATCTCTCCAATCTGGCATTCCCTCCTAATACCGTGTCCAGCACTTTGGATCAATAAATCCCACTTCACAGAAGTTAAAATAATATTGAAATCCTGTCAGCTAGGGCTGACCAGTGGTTACGTTTTCCACAGGGTAATGCATTTGCAAGGACATCAACCCTCTTCCTCTGGGTGGCTCTCTTTGATGGACGCATTTCCATGATGAAATGACAAGGTTCTCTCTCTGGCTTTCTGTGGGTCAGTGTCCTTGGCAGGTCTTACAACACATCTGTCTGAAGTATGCTCGACTGCAGAACTTGAACTTCAGCACCAGTGGGCAATAAGCCACTTTGTTCACATCTTTGCACTCTAACGAATGGGGGCAAACAATGGAAAACAATTAGAGGCACATAACCAAGTACACAAACAAGCCAATGTGCTTGGGTGTTCAGTGAGGACCCCCCCCCCCCGCCCCCCCAGGAGCCATCCACCTTGGCTTCCAGATCCATGTGGTTTTTGTTTTTGTTTTTAGGCATACCCTGTCTGGTACAGCCTACCAGAAACATTCTTTTGATATATTTTAACACAACATTTTTTTAAAAAAAATGTTTGCAAGGCTTTTTTTCTTCCAGACTTTTATAAGTATGGTGCATGCCCACTGTGTCTTGAAAGAATTACCATTTGTTGGGATAAGTGATCACTTTAGACAGCTTGGAAACATGAGTCATTTTTCTTACAGCGCTTTTATTGCTTCTTTCTCAAGGGTTATTTTATTCAGCAGTGCAAGGTTATCCAAAATCAAACATGAGTTTCATTGTTTGATACCAAAGTACACACGTCTCTCGAGAACCTCTGCATCTGGGAGGCACGCGGATGGGCCTGCGTGAATGAAAAGGACTGCTGACAGTGGCCTAGATTCAGCGACTACAGTCGACCAAGAGGAAACCTTTGAGGGGTTGGCCTCAAATGGCAGCAGTCTGTGGGTTATGGAAACATGTAGAAATGGCTTTTTTTAATTTGGAAGGGAGACATGGCCTTCTTTTTTCCTATGTGTGTTTTCTCTTCCGTGCTGGAATTGCCACAGCTGCAGTCTTACAGTTCCTGCAGCCAGAAGGTGAACAAACGATTGTTTCCCCATCTCCCCTTGAGGCTGTTACAGAGGTGGGACTGGGGGCCATTGTACAGAAGAGGGGCCTGGGGCCTTTGAGTCTCAATAACCTTGCCCCTGCCACACAATCCCAGTGCTGCTAATAATGATATCCTTCCCCAGTATTCTGGTCACTTTTATCTGGGGATTTCAAGATACTTTGTGTAAACCTAGTAATTAAATTTTCATATGCCTCCCAGAACCAAAGTTCCACTCTCCGTTTTCCAGGTGGTTAGCTGAAGCATGCTGGGTAAATTGCTGTAGGTAATTAGGACAAGTTCAGCACAACACAACTGAGGGTTTGCTGTTGTTTGCTTGTTCTTTTCCTGGCTTCAGTAAAATTCTCAGAGACCAAATCTGTAGTACATGATCAATATGATACAAATGGGAAATTACATGCAAAGAACTGGGGAAAATGTCCAGTTCTTACAATTGAGAAGTAAGGTAACAGTCTTACAGATCTCATTCATTTTAAAGGCTCTTTCAATGAAAGTCTTAAAATTTGAACGTGGAACTCCCAAATCCTCTGAGAACATAAGCTCTGCCACCACCAAACTTTCTCACTCTTGATTTGACTGACAAAGAGAAAAATAGTTAGAAATTGGAATAGAAATTTTTCACAGGCAATTCAATTTTCAGCTAAAAGTAGGAAGGGCAAGAAAAAGTCTTTAAACTTTGCACCAAAAAATAAAAAAGAAATCAGATGGTATTTGGTGGATCATGTTTGAATATGAGTTGAAAAGACGTCCATATATTTTAAAAAATTGGAGGTCACTTGGTATTTTTTTTTCTTTTCAGCTCAAAGAGTCATGACCAATAAAAGTATCACAAAAAGTTTAGACTGAAAATATTTTTGTGAGAAAAATTTATCATTGTTACCAAGAGGGACACATTGTCAGGACAATATAATCATTCAAATAATGAGAAAAGCATCTCTCTGTTGAAGTACTGTCCCTCATCTTTGATTCCAAATTACCCTCCTTGGGCCACATGGGCACTGTGGTGCAGCAGGCTAAGCTGATGCTGGGGATGCCTGCACCCCACGTCACAGTGCCTGGGGTGCAGTCCTGCCTCTGCTTGTGACCCAGCTTCCTGATAACGTACTTGGGAGGCAGCAGGTGATAGCCCAAGTATTTTGGTTCCTGCCACCTTTGTGGGAGAACCAGATGCAGTTTCTTGCTCCTGGCTTTGGTCTGGCTTAACCCTGGCTGTTGCAGGCATTTAGGGGAATGAACCAGTGGATGGAAGATCCCTCTCTCTCTCTCTGTCTCTTTCCCTGTCACTCTTTCAAATAGATAAATAAATGATTCTTCTACAAAACAAAATAAATTGCCCTCCTTATGGGGCAACCACTCGTACTCTGCAACAGGGACTAGCAGTACTGCTTAAAATACAAAATAAGCTTTAGCTTTGACCTTCTTTGCCAAAACATAAAAATGATTTAGTTGATAAACAGATAGAAGAGGACTGGTTGTTTTAATAGTACAAGGAAATAAAATTAGAAGCCAGACTGCTTGGATTTAATCCTAGCTTTACCGTTTATTAACTTTATGACAATACAAGCACATTCAGATTTTTCTTTTCGATTTAAACTTCAGGATCTGATAAAACAGTAAATAACCTATAAGGAATGAAATAGTGTTTGAAAATTGCTTCTATCTCCACCTACTGCTCCCCTCCCCCTGCCAACCTTCAGGCTATTACAAATAGAGCTGGAGACTGCTTCTTAAGTCAGTGCTGGAAATAAGATTCTCTGCACAGGCCTCATCCAGAGGCAGTACTCGGCCTAGCTTAGGGATGGGCGGGAGGCCAGCGGCCAGGGTGACCCTCTCTGACATTCCCCATGCCCACAGTGCCCAACTAACTTGGGTAAAAGCAGGAAGCTGTTTGGGTCCTGGAAGCAGGGTCAAGCTGAGGGAGGGAGACAGATGCGTGCCCCCTGGCCTGCGGCAGCAGAGCAGCACAACTCGGAAATCAGAGAGTGGAGATCTGCTGTCAGGTGGAGCTGGAGAGGCACTCTGGCTCTGCTTCTTGTAGCACTGTTTGTCCTTTGCCAAGTTACCTCACTTCTCTGCCTCAGATTCTGCATCTCTGAAACGAAGACCATGAAGAGGCCTGCTGATAGGATGCTGTAGGGCATGCATACAAAGCACGTGCCGTGGCCCTTGGCTCAGTTTATTAGTTCTCATTACTCTTCCATCATCATTGAATGTTACCACCGAAACATCTGCCTGTGTTGCCTCTCTGGCATCCCCATCCAAATGAATAGAGACAAGCTCTCAGAAGGGTGACATGTTTGTACAGAAAGAACAGGTACATCATGATAGTGACAGAGGTGAGGAGAGATCTGGGACTGACAAAACCCAGAACACAGGCCCTGATGAGATACTGAATTAGACTCCTAGGCTATAGAAGGACACTCAGCCTTGATGGACTGTGGGCACTTCCAAGAAGGATGGGCTGTGTGGAAGATCCACTTCCTACTCTCTCCATTTTGCCTTCTAGGAACTGACTGGAAGAATCAGTTCATTAAATGTTTTGACTGATAAAAATCTAGTCACCAAAGGTCAACCATGGCTTATTTTTAATTCTCTGATTTTTTTTTTTACTCTGTAAGGACTTAGTAACTACAGCACTAAAAAAATAATTTACCAAGCATCCCTCTTTGTGTCAGGTTTTTATATATTTTTATATTTCATTATTTCAAGTCAGCTGGCAAAACTTAAGCTCAGAAAGCTGCTGAAACTCATACTGGGTCACATAGCTAGTTGGTCTAAGAACTGGGATTGGAACTCAGATTTGTCTGACTCCAAAGCCACTCTACTTTGGTAGTATTCTTGGTCTCTAACTGCAAACAGTTTCTGCTTGTCTATGACTTTGTATTCTTGAGACAACACAGATAAGCCAACATGTGAGGCATCATAGTCAGGTTTGTTTTTTTTTTTTCTGAATTGGCTCTGCATCCTTAGAGAAGGGGAAAATGTTTTTTAAAAAAGGAGATTTCTAGATTATAGGCATTTAAAATAGCCTGAACTATGGGGCTGGTGCTGTGGCTGCTGTCTGCAGCGCCAGCATCTCATGTGGGCGAGGGTTCAATGTTCTTGCTGCGCCACTTCAGATCCAGCTCCCTGCTAATAAGCCTGAGAAAGCAATGGAGGATGGTCCAAATCTCTGGGCCCCTGTACCCAGAAGAAGTTCCTGGCTTTGGCCTTGCCCAGCTCTCTGCTGTTGTAGCCATTTGAGGAGTGAACCAGCTGATGGAAGATCTCTCTCTCTCTCTCTCTGTAACTCTGGAGCTCAAATAAACAAATAAAACCTTTTTTAAAAAAAAAGTAAAAATAAAATAAAACAGCCTGAATTACACCTTCTCTGAATTTTCTTTGCTATATCCTTCTCTTTGAATTTTATAAAGCTATCTAACTGAAAACATGATTTTGACACAAAGAGTTTTAAGCCCCCATTATTATAGGAAGCTGAATGTAATCTTCAGAATATTAGTACAGCTTTAAATTTTATTGGTACATTCAACCTGACTGCCACTTTCATCTAACTAGAGAAGACTGGCTTGTTGTGCTCTTGGATTGACTCATTGACATAATACCAGTGTGGTTAAGAGGCCTTATTATAAAACTTAATCACTTCATTCCTCTGCCTCATCCTCAAAATCCATTGAAATTATGAAATAATCTTCTCCCTTCTACTCTTGAGCCAATACAAAATCCAATCTTCTCTTGTGAGAAAAATCATTTTGGGAAATACATAAATTAAACTATATTTTTCCAACTGAAATCAACTCTATGATACAAATGTTGTGTTTTGATTTCTGCATGATCTGCAGTTATCCTTGATTCCTAGCTAATACTTAAAATATTTAAAAATTAAAAGTTTCTCTATATTCAAGCAGTAAATTATCTGCAAATAAACAATAGTAGGAAATCCATATGGAATCTTCTGGTTTAGGAGAAATTCTTTGTTGTCACATAAACACTGTAGATGATGTGTTTCGAGGGTTGGTCTTTACTATCAGATTTTCTTCATGAAGATACACTCATACTGACTGCTCTTTAAGTGGTGCAGTCTAAGTCAAGGATTTTTTTTTTTTTTGACAGGCAGAGTGGACAGTGAGAGAGAGAGACAGAGAGAAAGGTCTTCCTTTTTGCCGTTGGTTCACCCTCCAATGGCCGCTGCGGCCGGTGCGCTGCGGCTGGTGCACCGCGCTGAT